CAACCGTGGACCGGCTTCGGCAGGTCTTTTGATCGAAATGTGAAGCAAAAGTTGAGCAATTTCCCATCATGAATAATCGAAGTTAGAAGTGTAAGCAACATTACACCTTCCATATATATTAACATAAGTCACAATGTTCAACTCGTTCCCTTGTTAGATGTTTCGTGTTTCACTTTATCTTTCACCACAACCCATGGTCAAGTCACTTTTCGTCAAAATCACTGATGTGGCTCATGCGTGGTAGAAAATTAGAGGAGCCATGTAGGACTCACTTCATCTTGACGATAAACTTTGTTTAAGGAAGCAATGTGGGTCATCATGACGTTCAAGAGATAATGTGGAATTTAACCATATTCTCAAGGGACAATGTAGTTAATTCAGCCTAAATAATTTTAAAGAGGTATAAGTATAAAATACTTCTATGGAGGGTGAGAGATTGCATGTATCTAGAGTTTATCTTAGAGTCTTGCACAGAGTGAATCACGAAATGCTCAAGGTAAATAGTTACTTGAAATAGGACTTTGTTTAATTTCCAAGGAGTCTTGCATTGAGAGAATCACAAATTTTTCAAGGTAATTGTTTACTTGAAATCCAATCCAATTGGATCGCCCAATTCCTTTGGTGTGCTTTCAAGTGGTCATTGGTTCAATCATTTAGGGATATGATTTCCCCACTCCCCTTTTCTCTACTTACACTCCCTTTTATTTTTTAATACTTTTTAATCACTTTTGTTCATTCTACCCTTACCCTACATTAATTTATTTTTTACTTCACTTTTATATTATTTCTTTTTCTTTATACTTAATTTTCTAACTCACACTCTATTTTCAGTATTAAAGGGAAAAAAAGACTTAATTTCTTACTCGATTAAAGGAAATAAAAATTACACCCTACTGACAAACTATTTATTGAATTACTAATTTACCCTAATATAAAATGACCAAAAAGAATAGATTGAATTGTGAAACAAATGTAATTTTAATAAGTACACCTTACTCACCATATTCAATCCTAAGCGAAAAACCTATTTCCAAAAACCTAAACACAATAGTTGTCTATTTTGAGTTTAAATACTTGTTATCCCATATATAACCTGTCATTTTGAACAATATAAAATTATTTCCAGGAAGTTGATGAGTACGACATCTTTTACAAAGGAAATATGGAGAGCAATGGTTATTATAGTACTTATATTCATAGAAGTGTATGAATCAAATACTTTTTAACTAGATATGCCATAAAATAAAAATAAAAAAAGAGGAAAATAATCAAGAAGAAAATTAGGAAACAATCTGTTTGTAATCGGGGCTGGATATTAACAAGGCCTAGTCTTCAATTGCAGGGATGAATACTCAAGAAAGTAAAGTGGTTGATTTAGCCATTTCGTTGGGTATTAGACTGGGGAGTTGGCGTTTGAAATACTTGGGGCTTCCACTTTAATCCATCGGCAACAAGGTGGGTTTGGTGGTCTGATAGTATTCGGCAGTCAGCTCTTGAATGGGTTTGGTGTTGTGTGATAGAGTGTATTAGGGTGTATCATGAGTATTTTTGGTAGTTAAATAGGGTATACTTAGTTAATTTTACATTTAAATTTAAATATTAGGGTGTACTTTGAACATAGGGTGTACTCAGTCAATTTTAGGGTTCGTTTAGCAGCACTCTTGGTTTTTTTGTTTGTTTTTAAGAATTAAGAAAAGAAAAAATGGGTAGTTATTTTTCATAAAAGTAGGATCCATTATCTGATTTTGTTTTTAATTTTAATTTTGTAATTGTGAATTTACCATATTATCCTCATTTAATTAATAATTTCAATTCTTAATATTTGAATTAATAATTTCAATTCTTAATGTTTGAATTAATAATTTCAATTCTTAATGTTTGAATTAATCAAGGGCATTTTCTGGTAATTTGAATGTTTCACCATTCTCTACCTTTTGCTTTATATATATAAAAGATGCCTAATGTAGCAAGAACATTGTTTTACATTATTTATTTATTTTCAATTTCCTACTAGTATATGAAGAGATCAACCAGTGGCTGCTTATACTGGTTACCTTACATTAGATTTTATTCATAAATTATTTGCATATTCCACCAATTCGTTAACATGTTCCTTCAAATTTAATATGCTCCAAAAGACTTCGGACCCCTGCCCACTAATTATTTGCTTTTATTCATATGAAGTCTCAATTGAGGCTGCAGAAAGCAGTTATCAGAATGTTAATGACATACCTTATAAAATTAACGAGAGCGATATATATATATATATATGAGATCATGTTAGATAATAATACCGATCACTATAAGAAAACAATAATAGCTAACAACCATAGTTATTTGTGTCCATTGTGCTATTATGCACCACTAATAGTGCATTTGGCCACTCATCATGTGCCACGGATGTCAATGACTATAAATTTTTTTTTTTGTTTTTTTTATAGAGTGTATTTATTTACAGGAGTCGGGAAAGTTATGAATTCAGGAACTTACATAAGGGAATCAAGAAATCGGAATTGGATCAACTACTCCATTCTAGTTAATCCCATTTCTGATTTTGAGAGTATTCGATAACGGATTTTAACATAGAACCTAACATAATTAACCATACCAATACCCACATAATTGACAAGGGCTGAAGTTGTTGAGAGAGAGAGAGAGAGAGAGAGAGAGAGAGAGAGAGAGAGAGTATTACTGGGTGCAATTCATGCTATTGGAAATAGGAAAACTAAGATGCGCATTGCATTTCATGGGAAGATCTTGGATAATGGAGGCT